GCTGGGGTTGCTGCTCCCCAGCTGAAGCCATAATCTCTCACCTCCTCTGCCCAACAGAACCTTGGCATAGTCGGGATCAGTGACAACCAGGAATGCTGAGAAACTCCCAAACCACACAGGGTGAGCATGTGGGTACTTCTGTGACCAGAGCTCTGCCTTGTCCAGCATCTCTTCCTCCTTGAGAAACTAGTTCAGGAGAAGAAAAAAGAGAAAGAATATACAGATCTGGAGGGAAAAAAATAAATATGTAATCTCCCAATACACTGTCTTAAAAGTTCAATGTCTTTCTGAACACAAAATCAGATGAGGATAAACAAGGTGTTTTTTCTTCATGTTTGCAAAGCATGGGAAGTAGAGATGTTTGCTACTTTTAAAGCTCCTGTAAAATAATTCTTCCTTATCACTTGACCTTAAACTAGAGAACATCCTTAGGCACCGTGGTGGTGCCTATCAGCTCATATGTGTTATCTGCTCTTTTTCCAGGGCCACCCCATAGAAGACAGATTTGCTCCAGACAGCATCTGCATTTTGTGGCATGCAACTACATTCTCACTTGCACGTGGCTGAGCAGTTAGCAGCCTGCAGCTGGGAGAAAGCAGAGCAGCCAACAGCATCGCTGCTGGGTCTGCCCCAGTGCAGCTGTGGGGAACACAGCCCCCTCCAGACATTTTGATGGAGAAGGCCAGTGTCCAGGAAAAACCGAACAGAATTAATCCAAAGTCACCAATGGATCATACAGAGAAGGGAACACTGGTTAATAACATTACATTAATAATTCATTGATATCTGGGAATTTAATTTTACAGGCAAGGAAGAGCTGGTGCTCCTAGAAAGATATATCTCCTGTCCTTGGAAGCTGCAATCTGAGGAGCAGCATGAGCACCAGCCTTCATATCAGCAGCAGTGGCAGGTTCACTCCAAAGTAATCTCTGCTTTATTGCTTTTACAGCTGGTGTTGTTATGTACAGAAAATAGGCAAAGGACAAGTGGAAAGATCCACAATCACAGGCAGAGGAAGAAAATCACTAGAAAAATAATGTAAGATTCTTTTTTCTTTGAAGAGAAACTACTCTGGGCCAATATGCAGGGGGAAGGATTTTGGTAACCTAGGTCTGACATAGCTGCTGCTGCTTTGACTTGAAGCTTGAAGATTAATTAAATCAGCATACTGGTGCAGAAATCAGCCTCGAAGTCACCCTGTTGGCTGCATCAAATGATATTTGCTGAGTTGCTTTAGTGCTGAGTTAGTTCAGCTCAGCTTTTAGTCTGGCTGGTGTTTCTCAACCCAGGACATGGCTCATACTCAAATAATCACCCACATCAAATATTCAGCCATGTGTGGCTTGTCTTGGAGAGGATATCTGCCAGAGGCATATCCAGGTTCAGCTCCAAGACTGAGCCCCCCGCTTCCACACAAGCTGCAGCACATCCCATATGTCTCCCACATCCAGCAGAATTATGAACTGCAACCAGTTATTACAGAAAGTTCAACTCCACTTACTCAAGTTCAGAATTTCGAACTTAATAAATAGAACCATCAATTTCTCTGACTTCAGGGATCAAGTTTTAGGGCAAAAGGAGGCAGCTCTCCTCAGCACCCACCTCTTCAGCAAATGCCAGCAGAAGCAGTACTTGGCACAGTGCCTTTATCTAAGTGACACCTGAACATGTGAAATTCCCTTTGATACAGCTGCCTGTGCTTCTCCTGTTGTGAATCACAATAAACATAATGGAAAGTAACTGGGAGATGCTGAGCAAGTCTCGCTGGCAGAAGTCCTAATCCTAGAAGCCTTGGCATCCAACCTTGTTTTGGAGCAGCACCCTTGGCTTAGGCTATCAAGAACCATCCCTGTGCTGGCAGAGGGTTGAATGGGTTTATTTGAGAGGAGAGGTTACCCTCAAGGTGAGCAACCTGCTGCACCAAGCACTTCTGGAGCAGAGAGCGTAAAGTTCTGTGAGCTGCAGAGGAATAGAAAGCTCTCATGCCTTAATCATGGCTCCAGCTACCCGGCTCTGCATGCAAGATCATTACTTCTCCTTTTTCTTCCCCATGGGGTTTGAAAACAAAAGTATAAACCCCACTTGGTTCTAAGAAAGAAAGGTAATTGCCTGATCTCATGCTGAAATGCAAGTTTTGAAATGGATCCAACACTAAAAGCATCCGGGAAGAGGCTTAAGGGCACTTTAAATGACTACACACTGACAGCAAATGGAAGAGCAAAGACAGGAGCTGAAATCTGAGCATGAGGGTGTGCTGCCTGCAGCCAGAGGGGGCTGGCTCCTCCCCACACAGGGCAGAAGTGTGCAAAGGGCTGCGAGGGACTGACACCCTCCCTGGGCCAGCAGGGCAGTCACCCTGCTCTCCTCTGCTTCCCACCAAGCCGGGCCATGGGGAGTTATTTTGGTCAGCTCAGGGCTGGCAGTCTGGGTTTAACTAAGTCGTGCTGCTGCAGTGAGACTGAACAGCTCTGCACAACCTGATATTTTAATGTCATTTCTACTGAGTGATTTGGATAAGCCGAGACTAATACCCAGAGAATGCTTTAAAACAAAGTGATGTATTCCCAGGAGATCCACCCAGAGCATGACAAATGCATTTGAGCTTCTAAACTGGCCTGGATCAAAAGTGGCAAACAGTTAAATCAGCAGAACAGGAAATGTCAGTGCTCTCCCTGAATACAGCTCACAGGTCCTCCTCCAGGTGTGTGCAAACTTTGTATTCAGTGTGTGCCCAGAGCACTGCCAGTTTCTTTGCTGGCTTGATGAACTGTTAGGCTTTGGGGAATTCAGCAGTGTTAATCAGCAAATTATTAAATCTTCAAAAAAGGAATTCTCATACAAACATTGAGGTAAAAGTTGAGGCATGAGCAACCTAGGCATGATGACAGCAAGTGATTGGCACAAATGGTTAAATTTCCTTCCAGGACAAATAGTCACAACTAACAAACAGAAGAACATAGTTTATTTAATTGCAGTTTTAAAGTCTAACTGGCAGTGTAACAAAGCTTTGAACTGGCCCATCTTCATGCTCACATTGCCAAAATACTTCTTGTCCTGTCCAGCACAGCAAAACTGGCAGTGCCACAGCACAGAGACAAGTCCTGTGAGGTCTCCTCCTGATTTCCCAGACACTTTTCAGGGTGCCAGCTATTTAATGTGCCACGGCAGGACACCAGCAGAGTCCAGTAGATGGCAAGGTGATTTTAGGCAGCCTTTAGCACATATGGAAAAACCTTTTGCATCAGCAAGCTCGTGAGGCTGCTGATGAGTTGTGAAAATCTGTTTGCCAAGGCAGCCATGGTGATCTGTGTGGGCAAGTGCATACCTCAGGAAATAATAATCCATGACACCAGTGACCAGAACAAGGCTCGCCTATGCACATGGGTTTAGTTACCCATGACCTTAATGCAATTGTAAGAAGATCCACGGCCCTGTGCTGGATGCAATGCCTGTGATGTGTTTTGCGGCTGAAAAGTAGCTCGGAATGATCAATTGTCAGGTTCACCTGGCCATGAGGCCGAGGCAAGCTGACAGGGGAGAGACAGTGCCTGTGGATAATGGGAGCAGCGAGCATCTGCCCAGCATCTCATCAGCTCAGCGCCGCAGGGAGAGCTGCAGCGGCCCTGCCCCGGCTGTCAGGGAGCAGAGGTGACAGTGGAGCCTGCCCCGGGACAGAGCAGCGTGGCTCTGCTCCCTCCAGCACCGATGCCGGCTCACATCCCGGCATGACCTTGCCTATGCCACACTGTGTTACCTCCCCCTTTACTTGAGAGCCAGCCACCACCCTTTTCCATCGTGCAGTCTGCAGCAGCGTGCGGAGCTCTGCGTGAGCCATGCTCTCGCTAAGCATCACAGGCAGGGAAAGCACGTTGGTCTGGCTTGGAAAAGGGATGCCCACCTCTCACCCACCCAGCGATTCTTCCGGATCACGGGGACAAGTCCCACCAGCATCATTCCCAGCCCCTCGGGAAAGCTGCTCCCCGCACTCCCCCCGCCCCGGCAGCGCAGCCCCGGCTCTCCCCCACCTCGTGGACGTGGCCGAAGAGCCAGTGGGTCGGGTGCCCGGGGAAGTCGGCCAGCGCCCGGAGCAGCTCCCGCCGCCGGTGGAACAGCTGGATGGCTTTCAGCAGCACGCAGGTCAGGCAGAACACGGCGGCCAGGTGCAGAACCCTGGAGATATCCACGCCCAGCCACAGGAGCTTCATCGTCCCGGTGAGAGCCGCCAGCCGCTGCCTCCGGTGTCCCCCAGCGCCCCGGCGGCACCGGCCGCGGCAGCCAATGCGGGGCGGAGAGGCAGGTCCAGAGTCCGAGCGGCTGCCAAATCACGGCAGCGCTTGTTGGGAGGGAAGGGAAGGGAAAGGAAGGGAAGGGAGCATCCCGCGGGAACGCTCCTCTCGCCGCCGCACCGGCGGGGAGCTGCTGCCCGCCGCGAGTCCCTTCTGCCGGCACGGTCTGGCTCCGCGCCGGGACGTCAGGCTGAAGAGAGAGGGAAAGAGCGTACCCTGGGACTCCTCCTCCCGAGGTCTTCATCACTTATTCCTACCTTGCGAGCTTTCACCCTCATCTCCACCTATTCCCATCCGCATCCCGGCTAACACCTCCCGCTCTCCTTCCCTGTCTCCCTCTCCGCTGCCGGCACTGTGAGCCGCATCCCAACGCCGGCCGGGACAGCATCTCCGGGCAGCGAGCGCGGGGAATGCCGCACCGCACCGCGCCGGGCTGCCGATGCCGCGCGTCAGCCGAGGGCCGCGTACCGTGGCAGCTTTGGCACGGCTTGGTGGCACGGCCGGGCAACACCGCTTCCATGCCATCTTCTCTGCGAGCTTCTCTGCGAGCCCGGCGGGCACCAAGCGAGCCCCGCCGCGCCTCACCGCCCCCTTCCCATCCCGTCCCACCCGCCGGGGGCGGGACTCGAACCCGCGGCCCTGCCCGCGCTCGGCGGCCCGCGCGGGGCGGTCCCGCGGCGGCCAGTGGGAGCGCGG